TGTCTCTGTCTGACTGGGCACCTGCCTGCACCTCCCATCTGTTCATGTCCGGCCCTTCAGGCCTGGTATCTGCTCTTCTCCCTGACCTCTGTCCTGCTCTGTCTTTGATTTCTTACTGTACAGCTGTCTGCCTGTCTCTTTGACTCTCTCTCTCTCTCCCTCTTTGGCTTTTGGGCATGTTCCTCAGTTTCAGGGTAGGAGATGAAGGCTGTTGCTGTGGAGCTGAGGCAGTTTGCTCTCCTCTGCACCCAGTAATCAGGTTTTGTTTTTTGGTTTTTGTTTGTTTGTTTGTTTGTTTGTTTGTTTGGTGGCTGGTATGGGGATCTGAACCCTTGACCTTGGTGTTATCAGCACCGTGCTCTAACTGAGTGAGCTAACCGGCCAGCCCTAGTAATCAGGTTTTGGATCCTTGGATTGAGGATACAGGACAAGGGACTGGTAGGAGAGCTGTTTGAGGGTTCAGGAGAGTCAGGGAATTGGGGGAGACATTAGAATGGAAAGAGCTGTGGTATTCTCATTGGAGAAGGGGAGGAAAGTAACAAACAGGATACTGACATCCTGGCATTCTTCTCTGGCACAGCCCCAGGCCAGGCCTTGGGATGGCTGGAAAGGAGGTCATAACAGGCTTGGAGTACCACATTCATCTATTCCTGGTCCTTCTGTTTTTCTCACCTCTCTGCTCTCCTCTCATCCTTTTCTCCATTCTGCACTTTATTCTGGTCAGTTTGTAGCAGGGGCTGGGAGTCTATTGCAATGGTCCAGGCATCAGGTCCAGGTGGAGCTGGAAGATTGAGAGGACGAAGGGATGGCAAAGTTCTCAACTCCTCCAGCTGGGGTGGACCAGAGACCCTCCTGCTCTGCCATGTGCAGGACTAGTCACAATGCATCCTTGTCATGCTTTTGTTTGATCCCCTAAGGGGTCAGGAAGCTCACTACCTTCCAGGACAGTCCATCCTATGGACTGCCCTCACTAATGTAAGTGGGTTATATTAGGCTAAAACCTGCCTTCTTGGTGTAACTCCGAACTGTACATCTTGGGACCACCCAGAACAAGTCTCATCTGCCCTCCACGTGACAGTCTTTCAGAGGATTGGTCCTCAGCTTCCAGAATGCCCTTCACTTCTCAGTTCTACAGGGGAAATATCTCTATTTGCTTCAACTCTTACACTATGGTTTCCAAACCTTTTCTTCATAGCCTGTTTCAACTTGTCCACATTCCCCTTAAAATGTGTCCCCAGAAATAAGAACGATGTTCTACATGTGGTCTGGCTACTTTGGACACAGTTCCACGACACCTCCTGTGATCTGCCAGGATCCTTTCTCAATGATGTAGCCTCACGTTGACCCCTTAAAAGTTTCTTTACACTGATCCAGTTTAAGTTCTCAGTTATTTCCCAGTGAATTCCTGCCCCATCTGAGTTTGGTATAGTTGGTGTATTAGTCAGGGTTCTCCAGAGAGGCAGAATCAATAGGATATGTTATAATTATATGAGACGGATTTATTAGGGGAATTAGCTCATGTGACTATGAAGAAAAGTCCCATGATAGGCCATCTATAAACTGGATGCCGGTAGCGTGGCTCAGTCCCAGTCCAAAGGCCTCAAACCAGGAAAGCCGATGGTGTCCTTGGTGTAAGTCCTGGAACCCAAAAGCTGAAAAGTTTCGAGCTCTGATGTCCACGGACAGGAGAGAAAAGTATATCCCAGCTCCAGCGGATCAAGAGAGAGCTTCACCTCTTTCCTCTGTCTTTTGTTCTCTCCGGACCCCCAGTGGATTGGATGGTTCCCACCCTCACTGAGGATGGGGCTTTCCCACCCAGTCCACTCAGACTCTCATACTAATCTCTGCTGGAAACACCCTCATGGACACACATAAAAAGATAGATTTACCAGGTTTCTCAGCATTCCTTCATCTAACCAAGTTGACATCTAGAATTAACCTTCACAGTTGGCTTTTTGAGCCAAGGGAGGGAACAGAAGATTATATATTTGTGTTGCAACTTTTTTTTTTTTGACGGCATTGGCCTCTTGCTCTATCCCGTTGAGACTTGAAATCTGATGTTCATCTACTGGATCAGATCTTCTTCCTCACCGTGTACGTGGACTGCGGTAAAGGAAGAACCTGTGAGACTGGCTGGTTCTGGGAAGGTGATCTTGGATTTTCTGGTGGCCACAGTTAAATGACCTGTGTCCACCCCGTCCTGACTCTCCCCTTCCACTTCGCGACCTGTGCCCGGTCCACTGCTCTCTGCTTCCTCAGCGCCCTTGCTCCCTCCCTTCTCGCTCCTTCGCTTCTGGCTTTCCCCTCAGTGTGTGTACATTCCAAACTCTTTTCCACCTTACGAAAAACAAAACACAAACAAAACAAAACACAAGCACTCCATCCACCTTATCTCCTGATCTGGACATCTCATCTCCTTCTCTTTACAGTCCACTTCACTCCTCAGAACCCACCGCAATCTGACTTCTGCTTTGATCACAGACACTTCTCACCCGCGCCACTAACCGTTTCTACCCCTCCTTCCCCATGCCCGCTCTGCAGCGCTTGGCACCATTGGTGCTTCCCCTCCCGGAGCCCTCCTGCCTGCCTGGATGCTCTTTCTCAAGCGCCATCTCTTCCTCTGCTGGTGTCTCCAATGTTCATGCTCTTGGGGTCCTCTGCTCTCTCATAGAGAGTTCTTATCCATTCTGTGCCTTAATTACCCTCCAAATGCTGGTGCTGCCTAGGTTTTGATCTTCCATTTAGATCTCCTTCCTGAGCTCCAGGGCTGTATGTCCAACTCTCTCATGGACAGATCCTCAAGGATGTCCCATGTTTCAAACTCTATATGTGTGACAGAATTAATCGTTACCTCCCTGCCACTTCCTGCTTCACCCTGTCTCTCCCTCCTGTGCCTCCACCTCGGTTCTGTCTTGTCGAATGGTGCTAACAGCAACTTAGGTTCCCAAGCCTGAAACCCCAAGCTCCTCCTTTCTCCCCTCCTACACCCCTCAGTTACCGGTGCTGTTGATCCGATTCTCTACATCTCTTCCTAATCTTTCTCTTCTTCATGTTCTGGAGTGCTAGCCTTCTCCTGCCTTTTCCCCATATCCCTCAACCAGTCTTCTTCCAAAGCCTTCTCCTAACTTCCACTTAAGTAGTATGTTTCTAAAGGCTACACCTGAACAAATTACTTCTCTGCTTAAAACTCATCAGCAGCTTACAGCATAAAGGATCAAGTCCATTCTCCTTAGCAAGGTGCACTATACTCTTTGCACCCTTTTCCTTCCCACATCTCAGGCTCATCTTCCAAAAGATGAGCCCTGTGCAGGTGAGCCTGCCCTCAGACTGTATTACCTGTGTCCTCTGGTTGCTCAAAGCTCCCCCTTGGTAATGGTCCTTTGCACCTGCTGCTCCATTTGCACAATGCTTCCTTGAGTTCTCTGCTTGGCTAATTCCTACTCATCCTTTAAGATTCATATCAGGTGTCCTGTTCTTGGGAAGTCTGGTTCTGAAAGGTTGGCCCAGGTGCTCCGTTTACAGGCTGTTATGTTGTCCTGCACTTACTCCTATCACAGCACTTATCACTTGATGGCCATTTGTTGTTTATCTGTCTCCTCACTGTGTGGGCTCTTTGATGGGAGACATTTTTATTTCCATGTCCCTAATGCCTAACAGAGCTATGGCTGACAGCACAGATCTTCATCATGGTGCTAAACACATTGGAAAGTGGTTTATGTATCTATTCCTCTATTTCCCTAACTAGACTGTAAGCCCCTTGAGGATTATAAATATACCTTGTCCTTGTCCTTTTTTGTCCTTATATCCACAGCTCCTAGAACAGGATCAGATAGGTCGTAGGTGCCCAATCAGTGTGAATGATACCATGAGGAAGAGCATCGGATGGGAACTAGCATCACTGAGTTCCCTCTCTGTGCTGGTCATGGTGCTAGGTGCTTCATGCATATTATTTATTACTTCTTGCAGAATATCTCCCTGGTAGGTATTATGTTCATTTCACAGAGAAGAAAATTAAGGCTCAAGAACATTAAGTTACATTAACATGGTCACAGCAGAAGTTCCAAGACTTGAATTCAAATATTCTGATTCCAAATCCCACACTTCTTCACTAGAAAACATTACCTTCTATGGCACCATAAACAAGAGAATCAGCCTTCATCTTTGAGGGTATAAACTAAACCCAAGCCGTTTTTATCATGGGCTCCCTGCCAATCATAAATCTCAAGGAGAGAAAGGGACTTTAAGAGGTAGATTACTGTTGGTATTACCCAGCTGGAGGGATCCAGAAATGCCAAAGCTGCCTTTAAGCAAAGAAGTACTCATTATTTTGCCTCAAGTATACTCAACTTTTAAAGTCAAGCAGGAAGACCTTCCCTTCAGGTGCGGGTAAGGCTGGGAACAGGAAGAGCTAGTGAGCAACTCCATCTAAGATAAAATCAGATATTAGAAAGCTTCCAGAGCTCAAAAGAGTCAAGAAACACAGACCTATGTAAGATTTTCTAAGAACTTATCACATTATGGAGCCATGTAACTTCCCCACATTTCCGACTCCCCCTGTCTATTTCTCTACAATGGTCAAAGTTTAAGGCACCAAAGGAAAGGGCTCTGCACACTTGTTTTCACAGAAGAGAAAGGGGAGAGTTTCAAATCTTCATCAAGCATCTCTGAGAGCCAGAGCTAGGGAGAAGAGCCCCAGTGACGCACTATATGAGGGTAGCTCCCGAACACAGGAAAGCAGGTGGCCTTGCTGGGGCTGATGGAAGGGAAGAAAATGACACTCTGGGAGTTCTGAGAAAAGAATTTGGCCTGAAAAGTTGAATATTCCATGAAGAATTCCTTCCCTTCCCAAATTTAGCTTCACCCCCAGGTAGACCTCAGTCTCTGAACTGACATCAATCCCAACACTGGCCTTTCTGGCAACTAAATGGCCATGGTACCTGCATATGCATTCTAAGCTGGGCCACTAATAGGTCCATTTCTCTTTCTACAGCGTAAGGAGAATGCAGGACCTCCCCTGGAAGAACCACAGCTCTCTGTCTGAGTTCATCCTTCTGGGCTTCTCTGGGGATTCCCAAATTAATGCTATCCTCTTCAACATCTTCCTCTTCCTCTACCTGTCTACACTTGTGGGCAATGGGCTCATTGTCACCTTGATCTACCTAGACTCCCGCCTCCACACACCCATGTACTTCTTCCTCAGTGTCCTTTCCATGCTGGACATGAGCTACGTCACCACCACTGTGCCCCAGATGTTGGTACATCTGGTCTGCCAGAAGAAAACTATCTCCTATGTTAGGTGTGTGGCCCAGATGTTCATCTTTCTGGTGTTGGGCATCACTGAGGGCTGGCTGTTCTCTGTCATGGCCTACGATAGATATGTGGCCATTTGCTATCCACTCAGGTACAAGGTTATTATGAGCCCATGGCTGTGTGGGGCAATGATAGTCTTTTGTGGAGTGTGGGGTGTCAGCTGTTCCCTAGTCTACACTGTCTTCACCATGCACCTGCCCTACTGTGGCCCCAATGAGATCAATCACTTCTTCTGTGAGGTCCCTGCTGTTCTGAAGTTGGCCTGTGCAGACACATCCCTCAATGACCGAGTAGATTTCATCCTGGGCTTCATCCTTCTCCTAGTTCCTCTTTCCTTCATTCTGGCCTCTTATGTCCGCATCTTTGCCACCATCCTGAGAATCCGCTCAGCCCAGGGTCAACTCAAGGCCATCTCCACCTGTGCATCCCATATCACTGTGGTCACCATGTTCTGTGGACCTGCCATGTTTATGTACATGAACCCTGGGGCCAATGCCTCACCAGAGAGGGACAAGAAACTGGCCCTGTTCTACAACGTCATCTCTGCCTTTCTCAACCCCATCATCTACAGCCTCAGGAACAAAGATGTGAAGAGGGCTTTCTTCAAAGTAACAGGCTGGGGCACAGCCCCCAAGTGAGGCTATTGGAGCACAGAGGCCACAGCCAGATCTGAAACCACAGGATCTATGGACCTTCCATTCTATCCTCTCCCATCACCCAGTGGTCAGGCAAGAATTGTTGACTGATGGTTAAAGGAGAGGATGGACGTATGAAGGTAGGTACCTCGTATAGACCTGCTGATGGCTCCAGCAGCTGAGCTATCCTCAAACCTCAAGGGGTCCAACTGCAGAGAGAGGGCCCATCGGGACCTGTGCTAATTCATTACTGTTTCTCCAGGGCGCAGCAAAGGGTCTGGAACAAACAAAGCATCACTAACATTTGCTGATTTAGTGACTGAGTACATGAGCGGGCATATTAAATCAACTTGGGATGACTGAGACAAGATGACTCAGACGAGCTCAGATCAGTAGCCCCATTTTATCTCAATAAGGAGCATGAACAGGTCTAAGAAACAGCTTTAGGAGAAAGAAAAAGTGGCCTTAGGAATAGGGTTCTGGGATTGGTCATTGTCCATCCAGCACTGTCCAGGGGAGTGTGGGTTCCAAGATACATGATCCATCTGGTCCCTGGAGAGGTGAGCACCTGCTGTGGTGAAGAGATATTCTGAGGGGTCCCTCGGTACACAGATGAAACATTACCCAAACCATCTCACAGTGGTTACAAGCTCATACTTTGTAGCCAGCCTGTTTCCTTATCTGTAAAATTAGGATGATAGTAATAATAGCAAACCACCTACTTGTAGGATTGTTGTGAGAAGTTAACATATGAAAAGTTCATAAAACAGTGCCTGACAAATCGAATGTTCTATGCAAACATCACTACTCTTCTTTTTATATTCTATTTCTCTAATAAAAATGCCACAGTTACCAAGCAGACACCTGAGAACATTTCATTTAAAGAAAGGAGCCATTCTTTTTTCTGAAAAGAGATAGTTAACATTACAAATGAAAAGGTTGGAATTTGTTTACACTTCAGTCTACTGTGGATTTAGTGAGCTTGGGTCTGTCACCCAGAAGCTCATGAACTCACAGTAAGCAAAACCTTAAAAAATTATGACAGTCCCTCCAGATGTTGCGTGAAGAGGCCTTGATTGCAACCAGCCAGCACCCCTCAAAGATTTCTTCACTGATATTCTCACATGGTAGAGCTTTTAATAAAAATTTGTCCAGCTCTGACTTGAGTGGTAATGGCGTTGATAGGGTACTTGATTCAGGAGGCTGCTGACAGGAATGGTAGGATGTGACGGTCATAATGGTGCTGGCTACTCTCACCAGTGCCAAGACCCTTCACCCATGACTTTGGCCCCTGTGGTCCCTGGCACCTTGGAGGAGGCACAAACAGGTTGCGCCCTAGAATCTTAGGGAAGTGTCATGACCACACAGTGCCTATCATACTAAGAAAGGCAGGTAACATGCCGGGGAAGCCTGATGGAGAGAGAGAAGCTTTCATGAGGAGCCTCTACCCACCTGCACAGAATCTCCAAATTTTGCCCTCCCCCTTTCCACCACCAGAAGGGGGAAGAAAGGGGGGTGGGGCAGGAGTTCTTAGCTTTTGCTTAATCCTTTTCATCATTATGACATCCCATGGTCCATAGAACCATCCCAGACTTTTCTGCTCCAAATCTGGTGTTGACTTTTGAAAGTCCAAATCATACAATGAATACAAATGACAGGTTATTCAAGGAAGTGCTGCCATGATGAAATACTGTCAGATTCTTGCTTTGATCACAAAGGAAAATTAGGAATTATTAATAGTCAGCCTTTTTAAGACAAGAATTATTGAACCTTTATTAACCAACAGCCCTCAACAAAATAATGATGGTTCCAATGAAGGTGATATGGATCCAGTCCAACCAGGTGTCCACAAAGGTACTTTGAACTCAATAGGAAAGTAATGATGACTTTGATATTGATGACCATTATGATGATTACAACTGGTATAAGGAGGGATAATATTTGGCTGCACATTTCACAGCTGTTTATAACACATTTGCTGAGAGTGTTTTGGAAAATAGTAAAAAAGGGCTTGAAGAGAGATGCTGGGGCAATGGGAGAGAAAGCTGGCAGAAGCCATATAGAAAGATTGGTAGATACAATAAGCCCCCAAATCACAATGACAAAGGCAAGGACAGTAGAGATATTATAGAAATTGATCAAGTTATCCAGTCTACATCAAGACAATGGTGGCACATTGGTAAGAGACAGGAGGACAAAGGAATTTGATTAGGCCATAGAACAAATATGGTGGGAGTAAGAATGGGAGAGAACTGGGGGAGTTGTTGGAAGAGGATTGGATACAGGATATTTAGATTTCAGAGTGGAAAGTATTCCAGGTGATTATGAAAAAGCCCATCCAAGATTGCTGCCCCTAGGGAAAATTCAGATGGTAGTAAAGAGGTGAAGGGAACATTCAGTGAAGAAATTTTGGATGTGCCTTAATTTTAGAAAAAGGGATTTCAAAGAGAAGCTGCAAGAAGAAGAGATGAAGCTGAGTACGGGAAGAATATACGGGAAGGATGGATGCCATGGGGGTAAACATTTTGGGTGGTAACAGCCAGAGATGGAGCAGACAAAACAGGGTTGAATTGCCAATTCCTTCATTTACTAGCTGAGGGACTTTGGATGTGGCCCCTAACCACTCTGATATTTAGTTTTCTGAGCTTCAGTTTTTCTCTTCAGTAAAATATAGATAACAATACTTACTTTGAAACATTACAGAAACTATAGCTCTCTGGGTCCAATTAGGAGATAGAAACTACCTAGTAAGCTAAATGGGGAGTTTAATATAAACAAGTGTTAACTATAAATGGTACCCCAGGACTAAGGGATAGTGGCTGAAGGACAAACTTGGAAGGGGTTCAGACTTCACTAGAAAAGGTATGGTTCAGGCACTGAGTTCGCTGATGCTGGTGAGCCAGGCCAGAGCTGCTCAGGAGCTGACAGGCAAACTATAGGCTACCCTCCAAAGTGCAGATAGGAGAACGGGCAGTCAGCAGCCATGACGTGGATGTGCAGTTGGAAGCGGGGTGCTGCTGGAAGCAGAAGGCCTTCCAGTGTGCAGGGCTTGTGGAAAGAACGACTTCTCTGTGACCCTGCAGACTTCAGGCACCATGTGCAAACTTATTGCATGAGTCTGCACACAGGCCGCTCCAGGGCTTGCTGAGGAAGTCAGGCAGGTGACTGCCTGTGCAGGGCTCTGGTTTCCACATCAAGAGGGTGGCCAGACCCAAAGCTGCAAAGTCTCAGTGCATTCTGAGTCTGTGACCCAAGCCAGAAATCACAGGAAACCTCATTCTCCTGCCATGTCCCTCCAGTGCCCTCTACTGAAAAAGCTTAACATCATGCTCGCCTTAAAGGAGAAATGCTTAAAGGAATTCTGTTGTTTATTACAGAGCATGAATTAAAGGCTGATGTGGAACTGAGAAGCAATAAACGAATGACTGATAAAGTCCACTCCTTTGGACACTCAGCTTTCACGCGCACCCTTCTATGAACACTCAAACTCCCTTACAACAAAGAAACAACTTTGTATTTTTACATAACAAGATACATCAATCCTTACAAGTGAAGTTGTCATTCTTCCTGTGAGAAGACGCACAGTCCCAATACCAGTCCCAATAGTCATTGTATCCATTGCAGGCTATATTAATCTCCTCAAATTCAGTCACGATTCTGCTACCTAAAGACAAATTGTCAAGTTAACTTCCAATAACTTGAGTACAAAATAATTTTTACATGGGAATGAGAAAGATAAGGAGAATGGTTGCTACCTACAAATAAACACACTCACGTTACAAGCATTAGGAAATATGCAAAGCAACTGTGGTTCTTGTTTCTGAAATTGGTCATGACATGATAGTTGACATCTATGGCTTCCTTCTTCAACTAGCCATTCCATATTTCCCTTACCCTCAGCTGCTCTAGGTTATTTACCTAGAGTGACCAGATTTTAATGGAATGACCCAGATTTTCATTCTTGAAGTGTCTGAGTCCTCAGTCACCTTGTGTTCATTTTTATTTATTTGGATGCCTTAGTTTTCCATTAACCTTTACTGTTGGGCCTAGAAGTACTAGGAATTGCTACCAGAGAATTATGAGGTTTCCAGACATAGTCCTCTTTGCCTCAATTATGTATCAGCATCCCAATTTTCCCTAGTACTCAGCATCAATCTTTCTAGTCAGCAAATTAGCTCCTTATTTTGCCTGTGGCACAAGGAATCCAGAACAGCCAGATGGAAGACCCATCTTGAAACTCAGTGGGACCATTGTTTTGCCCATGGGTGGAAGCATTCTCTACTTTAGGACTAAGATCTCTAAGTTAGCAGAGCTCAAAGTTGCTGGGAGAGAAGAAAATATCCTGTAAGTGAGTTATTGGGTATAACAGAGGATCCACTCACATTCTACCTCTTGATTCCTGGACCCATGTGCTCTGGCTATCTGGGAAACAACACCACACAATGAATGGTCTGTGATTCAATGCAATTGCCACCCTCCCTGTAGGGGAATTATATATGCCTTTCCATTACACTGTACTTCTCTGTGGGAAAAAGTACTTCCTGCCCTGCTCCTTTGCCATCAGGCTTGATGTGACTTGTTTTGGCCAATGGGATGTGAGCAAAAAGATGTGTCTCACTTCTGAGAAGCTTTAAGAGTTGTCATGTGTTTTGGCCATTGTTCCCTTCCTTCTGTCACAAGACTGGCACATTCCACGTAAGAGCTCATCCTTCAGGTGGATCTGAGACTGCAGAAGGCCACAGCCAACCTACAACTATCATGGAACATGAGCAATAAATGAACTTTTGCTGTTGAAGGCCACTGAGATTATGGAGTTGTTTGTTAGAGCATTACCATGTAGCAGATTGATCAAGACAGCCATGCTGGTTTCATGTATGTTTGTTCCACTGACCAAATATTATGTATGTTCAAATGCACAATGTTGGCTGCATACATTACAGATGATGTCCCTTTTTTTCAGCACTGGACATCCTACCACAGGTCTCTTCTGGATCCTAGTTTAC